AGGATTTTAAAATTGTCTTGGGAAGAGCATAAAAAATAAAATGTTAATCTTTCCACTATAAATATGACTTGAGCTATTATCATAACCAAAACTAGGTTTTGCTTCTGTCCAGCTAAACTAACATGATACTAACAATTCTGAGCCGAAGATGACATCATTCTTAATTAGCACTCTGCTACAGTTGTTAACATCTCAAAGACACCATGCTATCATCACCACAAGCTATGCAACAATCTCAAAATCATGTTTAATAGAGCTTGGCCTCTTAGTCTACAGCTACTTTTAATTGCTTTCTTTGCCGGCAATTAAATACGTCTAGATAAACAAACATTTCATTTTACATAATTCCTAATAACATTTTTCAAGATAATTTCAAAGTCCAGATAGCCTTATGCCTATAATTACTATTTATCAATACAGTAATATATTGGGTTCAACAAAATGTCTCAATCAAAATATATAAGATTAATCAAAACATGGTAATTAGTGGTGATATTGATATACTGTGATCTACACCAAGGACAAAATAGCAAAATTGTATAACCATAATTCCATTAGTTAAGGAAAAACATAAAGAAAAAATCATATTTGCAATGTATTGATTTTCTTGCTTTGTGAATCAGTAAGCAACACTCTGAATGTCCGTTAAATAAGTTCCCGCCACAAAGACTTTAGAGCTGCAGCTCTTTTTCAAAGTGTGATGCTAACAAGCAAATCTCAGTAGTCACCAACCTATCAATAGGCAGTAAACTGTCTAAATGGATTTGGTACATCACTCCAATTAGATGTGCTGGGATCACCATTGATGCTTTAATTGGGAACAAGTTTCTTTCTCATCCAGAATGTCAACTGCTGAAAATGACCACTTTTAAAGGACTTCTTATCAAAAATATTTACCAATCCAATACTTTAAAATATTACTTTAAAAAGTCTAATAATAATGGTAATTAAAATTAAACTTATGTACTTAAAATACTGGTTATATCGATTTATTCCTAAGGAATGGCAAGCTATTTTAAAAATCATATCAAATCATGCATTATTCTGACTGTAACACTAGTTTTTTAAAATATTTCTTAAAACATCATTTGTGAAAGCAAAGGTCGAGGAATGTGATCAATATGACTGATTCTTTGAAACTGGCATTTTGGTTTATTTTCTTAACAATTTCATATGCATTTGATTGAGTTGTTCAAATCTATAGATTATAAAATCAGTAAATAAATCTGACAGATAATTATAAATATCTTTCTTTACTATTTTGCCAAAATTTGATGAATTGAACACACAGTCCACAATCAATATATATTCTTGGAAAATTGTTCCTCCATGTATCTGCCTTAAAATGAGGCTAAAGTATTATTAACAGTTTTAAACTACATTCTTTTAGGTAATATTAGCCTGGAAAACTTAAGACATATTTTCCTCCTCCTTTATTTTCTATTTTCTCTGCTACTACCTTAAAACAATTTTTGAAGATCCAAATTTAAAATTTCTGTTTTAGTTTTTTGGTTTGTTGTTGCTGTTTTGTTGCTATGAAGTCTTCCATCTCTGCTTCTAAGACATGAACTAAAAAGACTGAGGGCATACACTACCACACCTGGCCAAGAAATCTGTTTTTAGTAAAGAAATTTAATTCTATCTTATTTATAGATGTTGTTAATATACTTGATTTGTTTGGTCACTGAATGTTGTTTTCTTCTACTGCTGTTTTCCTATACTTTTTAAATTTCTAGCTACTGAATTAAGTTTGTTTTTCTTAGATAAATTTAGGTTACTTTCTTGAGTGTTTACCACCATCAGTTATATTGATACCTAGGCTTATACTTTTTAAATATGGACTAAAGATAATCGGAAAGTCTACGGCCTTTTTTAAAGAAGCAACTACACATATCATATCTCTGTCCTTACCTCACCTTTTTTTTTTTTTCTTTTTTTGGTTTTTCGAGACTGGGTTTCTCTGTGGCTTTTTGGAGCCTGTTCTGGAACTAGCTCTGTAGATCAGCCTTACCTCACCTTTCACGTCAGGTTCCTCGGGGAAAAATGTGGGTAAAATCTACTCCTGGTTTACTGTAATGATTTAAGAAAAATAATGTGTGCAAAGGGCTTGGCAGAAAAGCCATCCTCCATGAATGACAATTAAATCACTTATCAAATATTTTCTTGATATCATTATTCTCCTTTAAATAATATATATTCTTATTCATCTTCGAGCTTTCTTTCAGTATTTTTTATGTCTTGGACTTTGTCATTGCTACAACTATTAAGATCTAGAACTCAGAACTAGTCTCTACCTTTCCTACTGCTTCTAACTCTGCCAGCTACCTTCATTTCAATACTTTATCCTACACTTCAATCCTGTCTCCCTACTCAGAACTGACCCTTGGAATTACCCTTAGAATTCATATGCAGAAGGTCTAAACTCCAATTTGATGCTATCTGAAATACGGTCTTAAAGAGGTAATTCAGGTCATAAAGTTGAAGCCTTAATCCAATGTGACTGGTGTTTTTATAAGAAAGAAAAAAACTGTTCGATCACGTTTTCTTTCCCTTTCAAGCAGGGATACTATGAGAAGTTGGCAATCTACAGGTCAGGAAAATGCCTTCATCACACACTGACCTGGCCTGCATTTCTATCTTGAACTACAAGTCTGGAGACCTAAAATTGTGTCGTTAAGCTGCCCAATGTATGCTATTCTGTTACAAATGCTCCTGCAGTCTAACATTCTCACACCCCTATGGCCACCAGGATTTGTTTGTTTTACTTGTTCCCATTGCTCCTATTTACTGCCCTGTTCTCCTATTTCAAGTAATTCTGTCTCTTACACCTACTTCCCTTTAGAATCAAATTTTCTGTGAAGTTATTTTATTTCATTTCTTATTCTTTAAAATGTACTAAAATTCAATACTTAGTTCTATTCCTCAACCAAATTAACAAAGTCAATTACTTAAATTCCCAACTGAACGACCTTTTAGCAATCATCCTGCTAGCTAGTCCAGGCCTCCTCATTTCATATTGTTTTCATTGAGACAACACAGCTCTCCCAGGAAAACGATGAGTCAGTTCTAAACATCTTACTCTGCACTAAGAAGACACGCTGGGTACAAGCTTATAAAGAGAAATTTCTAAGCTATAGAAAGAATCTTTTAAAAATGGAAAGGTTGAAAGCAGATGCTAAGAGAAAGTAATGTAAGAAATTTCTGAGAAAAACTCTCAAGAATCTCAACAATGAGGGGCAGGGAAAAACACCACAAAGGAGACTGGATGGAACAGTCTGGATTTTAGGGTTAGGACAAGTAATGAAAGATAATTATCAGGAAAGGAAAGATATTTTTAAAGGCCCAATATCTTTAATGAATAGGTTAAAAGCTCACTGGGAATAGAGCTTGTCTTTTATCTACTAATTAATAAAAACACAATGATGAACTAAATCATTCCTATAATAATATAATAACATTTCCCCTTTTCTAATTTTATTATAAATTATGATTTGATTTGAAATTGTGCCACAGGTATAATGCTTCATTCATTCAATTCATTACTGAATTCTAAAAAAAGGTTAAAATGTTTCTTAATTATTACAAAGATTTGAGCAACATCTTCACTCTTAATTTCATCTTGAAATTTTGTTTTCTAAAAAAACCAACCTTACATTAAAATAATTCTTAAGTCAATTATAGATATGATGTAATTTATGTTATAATTTTTGGTACCGGAAAAGAAACTGTCCATACAAAGATGCAATTACCAGGCACCCCCTAGTGGCAGTAAAATCAAGACAGGAAAATAAAACATGGAGGTAGAATTTTCTTTATAATTCTGAGCAAAACTTAAAGAAAATCATTTGCCATTTAAAACATGTTACTTTATATCTGCTTTAATAAATAACTTACAATATGTCATTGAGAGAAAAATTTAAAGTTTTTGATAAAATTGAATAAGTATCTATAAAAATGAGCCCTGACCTTTTAGAAGATCTCACTTAAATGTATATTAGTATAACTTTTTCAATGCCACGAGTTTCTAAATATGTCCCTCATACTACATCATTTGTCTTTCTTTGAAAAATTCTCATTGTTCCTACCCATGAAACAACATCATTGAAAATTGGTAAAAATCAACAGGCCAACTAATAAACAGTTTCATTCCCCAATAAGCACGGCATTTCAGCAATACTGTAGGCCTAGGGAATGAATCAGTGATGAGAGGTCAGCTACATGGCAAAGAAGATAATTTCCATGAACCCAGCATGATATTCTGATGTCAATAAAATCAGTAGATGAACATAAAGTCTGTGAAACTCCAAAGTCAGCGTGAAACTAGTTTTGAGGTAATATAAAGACTCAGAAAAACCATTATTTTTTCACTAGTACAATCAGTATATGCAGGCCATTTGCTTCATTTAATACTGCTAAATTTAATTTGCAACTAAATACTGTATTATGTATACACACATAATATAAATACTGTAAATACATGTATTGAGTTTCAATTAAAAGCAACAATGAATCTACCTTAAGTAAAGAAAGAGTTCTTTGAGAACCTAAGTAGGTGTTTTTCTAGCTTTATCCTGTAGAAGTTACTGTATTTTCTTCAAACTTTGGCAATAACAGACTGGGGTTGTATTTATTCTTTCTCTTCCCTCTAATCTTTCTCCTTCAATCAAAGAAGGGCCGTTTTTGCTCTCTTCCCTCCACCCCCTTAAGTGCTCACGAGGAACTCAGAACCCTGAATACAGTAGGTAGTACTGAGCAATAGCTCTACTCTGTTTTGATTATTTTTAATATGCAGGCATTTTCCAATAGATTTTTTTTTGAAAGAGGATTCTACTAGTAAGTCAAATAAATGAATAATCTAAACCAAATAATATGGAAACTGATACACTTGGTAGTCAGTTAAAGCTTCCATAAAATTTTTATTTATTATACTTTACACAACATATAAAAAATTTCCCATCCAATTTTTCCTTTCAGATTTCCAAGAAAAGCAAATCCCTTACCCAGCATGACTAGACGATGAAGGTGGTGGCAGGTCTGGTGTAAGGACATAAAGACTGTTGTTTTTTGGCAAGTGTAATGATTTTAAGACCGTCTGAAATAGAAAAAAAGAAAACAAAAATAAATGTTGAATTTGTACATTATTAATTTTTATAATTTTTGAATATTTGACAACTTTAAGGTTGGTTTCTCATCTTTTGGTAATTTCCTAAATATAACAATAGAGCAGCTAAATCCAAACCATCTTGTTTCTGCTGTTTTTATGGCAAATAAATACAAATCTGAGCATTAAGACAATACAAACTTCTAGCTCATTGGAGATGCTTAAAGATAAGAGCACAATTAAGAGTCGTTAATTTCTCCACCAACGTGTAATCATGTTATAGCAAAAATTAGTAAAGCAGGTTTTCAGAAAATTTTAAGACCTAGAAAAAAATTATAGAAAGCACCTCAAACCAAGGATCTTTAAGGGTGAGGAGCTGTAGCCTAAGAGGTTGTGTAACCTGGATGTGGACTCCAATAAGAGTTACCTAGAATCACTTCATTCTGACTCTAAAGATCTTCTTTTTTAAAACGATCTGTTGAGTCACACGTATATACAAACTTTTAAATTTCACTATCACAAAACTCATACATTTCAGCCGCACAATCTGAAGTTAAACACTTGCTAACATGCTTTCTGGTAGATATACTCACTAGGGTATTCGTTCCACATCATGCACCCAGGGCATGCTCTTCATTCACAGAATCTTACTGCATTACACCTCTGAGCCGGACCACCCTAATCATAAGAGTGGCTAGAATAACCTAGGAGTTCTGACTGGGAAGGGGTATGAGGGAGCAAAGCTTTAGTAGGATTAAAGTAATCTATATAGTTAAAAATTAGAAGGTGATAGCTTTTTTTGTCTTGGGGTTTAACTAAAGATATGGCAAGAAGCAGGGATGAAGAATATAAGTTAGGGGAGCTTTGCAATTTTAAACTGGATAGCCAAGAGTCTGTTCATTGAACATAGAGTTGAAGGTAACAAGGTAACAAAAATATATAGAGAAAGACCACTTCAGACAAAAACAGCCACTATAAATGTTTAAAAATGTAATTTTAAAGTTAAAAAAGATGGCAGAAATAATGAAGACAAGAGTTGGAGGATTGTTGGGAATTATAATATAAAAAGAGATGAATTAAAAAGTGAGAACTTTTAAGCAAAAAACAAACAACAGAAACTTGAAATTCAGATGAAAGCTTCTGCCATTGTTAGTAAAATGTTAAGAGCATGGAGAGACAGTAAGGCAAAGAATAGTGAAAGAGTTTTGTAGGCAAAGGTCCAAGTAACTATGTGACCAAAGAAAGGGCAGCTTACAAGGTGCTGAGATTAATAAGAAGATTTGAAGACTGCTCAACAGTTAAGTGTGCTTGCTGTTCTTGCAGAGAACCATTTTGGTTCTCAATAGCTTGGCCAGGCTGTTCACAACCATCTTTAACTACAGCTCCTGGGATCCAACACCCTCTTTTGGAGGCAGCTATACCCACAAATGCATATACAAATACATTTACAAATGCATACACATAAGCAAAAAATAAATCTTTTAAAAAAATGTCTAAATCTAATGAAATTAAATTGAAGACAGAGTAATTATAAGTCAGAAGTTAACAATCACAAGGAAATAGGGACGATAACTTCAGTAAGTTATCAAAGGTGATATAACCTTTTGACATAAATTCAAAGCTAAATAAATTCTGATAGGAAAGACTGATAATGACCTAGAAGTACAAATCGAGATATAAATATATTTTATAATTTATTTCAATTGTATGAGGACTGCCAAAATAAAACTAACACTAAGAAGACTACAAAGGAACAAACTTCTTGAAGAAGATGGCTGTCACTCAGTGGAAGACAGTAAAGGAAATGTACATGGAAGAATTTAATAAAAGTAAATTTACTAATGATGGATTAGTTCCACAGCACATAGTATAAAGCCTTGTAGCACTGTAGAGGAAGGAGAAACAAGACAGGTTTTAGATATACAGTCTATAAAGATTCAAGAGGAGTGATTTGGAAATCTCAAACACCTTACAATGATTGGTATAAACAGGTGAAGGGTAGCAAAGTCAATCCTGGCAGAGTCAAAACAGGTAATAATGGCAAGGTTCTAAGGGTTAAGAAGCGAGGAGTGCTTAAGGAATCCTTAGATAAGGATTCCTTAATTCTGCAGATGGAGAAAAAGACACCTGGAGAAAGGTGATCTTACCCAAGCAGGCCACTGGAAGAACTTTTAACTGCTCCTTGAGAGGGCCCATCTTACTAAGTGCACTCTTAAATAAAAATAAATACCCTAATTATTTACATTAGAATGACATTTCTGTTTTATTTTACTTCTCTGCCCTTCCTTCCTCTTTATGTTGTCTATTACCTGTACAGTTAACTTAACAACCTAGTAATGGGTTATGGAGCATGGTTTAAAAAGCCACAATACATAATCACCTACCAGGACACATATTTTATGTCAAATATGTAACACCTTTTTGAAATTGATGTGTTCTCTCAATAATTCTAGCATGCAAACAAAGTGCATACATCTATACACAGGAGAGTTACCTTCATCTTTTATCCTATTACTTTGTGGACTACAGAAAAATACTCTTAGCACTCAATCAAATCATGGTCATACTTTATCTATATTCTACTCTATGATTCTCCATTAAATCTTTCCCATCAAAACATTCATGGCATGATTAAATAAAATGACCCTTTTCTTTAGGCCATTATTCATGCACTAATCCATGAACCTTTATTTGATACTGATATATCAAGAATTCTATAAACACTGGTGATAGAACAGATATGGCCCCTCTTCTTATAATGTTATGGTGGAGAATCATAGGACAAGAACCAAATGAGAAATGTTTGTTACAGAACTAGTATAAAGCTAAAACTCAAAAGATAGAAAATAATCATTTAAAAAAATATTTGGAGGTAATAATGATTCCAAAGAATTAGATGTTATCTGTCAAGGATTGGGTCAATAAAGCTCAATCCTAATTTAAAAAAAAAAAAAGATTTCAAAATGAGCTATAGCATAGAAAGTGAGGGTAAGAAAACTCAGGAGGTACTGTAAAACTGAGAAAAGGATAATACTATGTTTCAACAAAAGAGCAATATAATTTATGTTTGTAAAAGATGGTTATGGCTGCTAAGCAGGGAATGGAACTAGAAGTATCCACAAAAAGGAGCTAAGAAGCTGGGAGGTAGTGGTGCACACCTTTAATCCCAGCACTCAGGAGGCAGAGGCAGGCGGATCTCTGTGAGTTTGACAACATCCTAGTCTACAAGAGTAGTTCCAGGAAAGGCTCCAAAGCTACAGAGAAACCCTGGGGTGGGGTGGGGGGGCTAATAGTGAAGTTCTAGTCCATGTAGAGATAATGACAGTCTGGATTAGTCAATTGTAACAAAAATACTGAAAAGTAGCCTTAGTTGAGATATATTTTAGAAGTATAACCAATAAAATTTACAAAAGTATCCTTTGTGCTATTCTGTGAAGTGCTGTGAGATAAAGAAAAGTCTCATGGCCACAATTTCTGCTTTACTATTAGCTACACAAAGTTGCCATTTATTGAGAAAAACTGGTGAAAAAACAACATAGGAGATAATTAGGGGTTCTCATTAAAGCATGTTTGTTTAAGATGCCAATAAAATATGGAAGACCAGAGTAGGATATGGTGATTGCACATCCATAATCCCAGCAGGTGAGAAGGGGGAACATACATTATGTGGTAAATTGTCAGGTGTTGAGCTCATTTAAGAGGCTGGCTCGGTAAGCAGGGCTGTCTTTCACCATTTCAAACCCAAGCAGAAATGTCTCAAAGCATCTTTCAATGTCTGAGAATAGGCTGCTCCTCTAACACTGTTAGGAAGAGAAGAAAATAGCAAAACAGACCAAGAGTAAAAATATTTTATCCCTGAAAACAGCTAGAAGGCAAAACATTTCCAACAGATGCTACTATTATTTATCCGTGGCATCAAAATGCCTACAATGAAGAAGAGTAGCATAAAGCTCACCTCTGGAAAGCTCAGTCGGGTAGAAAGAGCTCAACTGTGAGTGAGCTTCAGATGACTGCCTCAGCTTCCCTGATCAATTTTTGCTAGATGTTTTAAGCAATCAATTTGATGATGTTATCTCTAAAAGTTACTTATTTGTTCTTTTACTTGTAAGTCTCACCTAGGGGACACGCTGGATGGAGAACTCCAGCTGGCTACCTTAAAAGGGCTTCCCAATCCCATTCCCACTGGATGTTTTGAGTACCCAATTTGATAATGTTTTGCTTTCTATCTATCATTTGCTATTTATTCTTTTACTTTGGTTTGCTATGAACTGTAATACAGTCACTCATGCAAACTGAAAATATGCTACTGTAATCATTCTCCAGACTGTATACAACAGAAGTGAAGACAGAAAGATTCAAAGTACAAAGACAGCTTTAGCAGCTTAGTGAGTCTGAGACCAGCCTGAGCTACATGAGATCGTGTCTCAAATAACCAAGAAGCAAAGAAAGAAAAGAAAAGGGAAAGGAGGAAGAGAAAGAGGAATGAAAAGAAGATATGCAAATACAAGAGTTAATTGTCAACTTTGTTTAATTCTCACATGTTTTGTGACAATTCATTGAGGTGTGGTATGGAAATGTATATTTGGAAGCAATCAAAAAATTAATGGCTTGAGAATAATAGGAATCCCACATAGTAGAATATATAAATAAGTAACTGGAAGTATTGTGTCTTCCCAAAAAACTGTCCAGATACTAGAATGTCTTAAGAATATTTTCAAAATGACCTCCTTCTTTTAACAAATTAGTGAAAATGGACGTAGTATTATCTTATTAATACAGGTTTCTCAATTTAAAAACAAACTGTAAAAATGACTTCATTCTTGATGTTTATTTCTATCAAGGTTGTTGAATTACTCATCCGTACCTTTTCAGAACCCTGGGTATCAGAACAGACAAGAGTCAGGAGTGAATAGAGCTTCCTTAGCATTACAACAGCCCTGGGTTCCAACCGGAGGACTACACAGCACCAAGAAGCAACAAACTAAGGACATGGGATAAACCTAGCTGTTTTTATATGGGATGTGACTTAAAATAGCTTTTAAATTTTATGATTGGGAATAAATCAAAAGAACATTTCATGACATGAAATTTCATATTGTAGGAATGTTCTTGCTCTTTGGGAATAGAGCAGAGTAGTAGTAACAGAGGCAAGATAAAACCTAAATATTTATTATTTTATTAATTTTATATATACTATTCTTATTATTATATTAATATTTAATATTATTAACTGACTATACTGAAGAGGCTTGCTGACCCCTAATATTAACTGTAACATCATACAGTATCATCGTTAACTATATCAAAACTTAAAGTTCTTGCCTATCCTTGCCTATCTGGAATTCTAATAAATGTCTCAATGAAACACAGGACCAACTCAGTAAATCAATTCTAATAATATATATACAAATATATATATATATGTATATATATAATTTATTAGCACAACTGACCACAAAACATTCATAAAATAATGAACCAAAGGATTTTATTTATGCCTGGCTAAGCAATATAAACTCAGTAATAGTGTAAGAATATAAATACTTCTGTCTTAAAAATATAAAACTTTAGTGCTAATTCATTTCTTTCTCCATTCCTCTAACCTCTTAAAAAAGAAAAGTGAAATATTTTATACATTAGGCTGACTTTAAGGGGTCCAAAACCATAGCCACTATTACTTGAAAACTACTGTACCTTCTGTAAATTCTCAAGCTATTAAGTCATTTCATGCACCTGCCACTAACCAAGGAAACGAAGAAATATTCTTACCATTTAAATTTTCCAAGTTTTAAAAGTTTCCTATTATCTTTGCTCCATATGCAATACTTGGCATAAATGTACACAGTGTGTGTGACTTCTTTCAGGCCAGTAAGTAATTGGTCAGTAAATTATTATTCCAGGGCACTCACTGATACCCTAAGAGGTTTGAGAAAAAGGTAAATGCTCTCAAAAAGGTACCAACCTTCTAAAAAAAAAATACTTAGAAATAAAAAAAAAAACATGCCACATAGTGTTTTTATTTGTATACCTAAACTCATTTAAAACCATTATTGGTTTATATTTAATTATTTAACTTGAAAAACATTATTTGGGAATTAAACTAAATAAATACTACCAAATTTACTTCTGATATACATAAATTATCTAAAACTAATCTTTAGGATGAACATGGTGGTGTTTGCCTAAAATATCACCATATGGGGGAAGTAAAGGCAAGGAGGATCAGGAGTTCAAGCCCATCCTCAGCTAAACAAGAGTGTTTAAGATCAGCCTGCTCTACATGAGAACCTGTCTCATAAAACAAGCAAGCAAGCATACAAACTAAACAGCTTTTAAGCATTACTTAGCTAATCATAAAACTCGGTTATCTTTTATGTCTCGTCAATTAGGAAACTTACACTGTCTTCCACATCTCCAGTCTTCCAGCCTTTTAACAGCATTTTAGGCACAGGTATCTGAAGTTCGTTTTCTAGAATCTGTTTAATCTCTCCTGTACAAATAAGAAGAGATCAAATATAACTAATGAGTAAACACAAGTCACATTGACTACCAGGACAACATTAATATCCAGTATACAATATTCAGTCAACAACATTTGACCAATGAATAAATGTTTAAAAACTCAATACTGATGTGGGATGCCCCTGTATGCTGTGATTATGTTTTATTACTATTGGTTAATAAAGAAGCTACTTTGACCTATGGCATGGCAGAATAAAGCCAGGCAGGAAATCCAAATAAGAGATATAGATAGAGAGTAGGCAGAGTCAGAGAGATATCATGTAGCTGCCGAAGGAGAAAAATGCCAGAACCTTAACGGTATCACCACAGCCTTGTGGTGATACACAGACTAACAGAAATGGGTTCATTTAAGATGTAAGAGATAGAGAAGACTACACCTACACTATTAGGCAAACAGTGTTGTAATTAATACAGTTATGTGATTATTCGGATCTGGGCGGCTGGGAAACGAACGAGCAGTCTCCGTTTACACAGTACTCCAAATTTAAAATCTTCTTGACCAAACAATATGCTGTTTCATTGAAGAACTTAGGCTTCAAAATTAATGACAAAAATATTTCACAATTACTAAATAGATAATTATGTACTTCACTTTTATAAAAGCATAGCTTTCTAAAAAGCACAGATATCAGTGGTTAAGAATGTGAACAGAAAACAAACCAATAAACAATACTGTTAGGTATATAAGTGAAACCATATTGTGTGATTTGGAATAATGCTTGCAAGATAAGAGCCAGCTGCAAGGCAGCTCTGATATAAGACGAGCCTTAGGCAGGTTCTAATATGCTAATGATCCAATCCTAAACTGTGAGCCCTGGTAAACTGAAGATGGCCCCCAAGATCTCACTGCAATGCCCCCAAAACAACATCTCAAGCCTCTGTACTGAGTCCCTTGAGCAAGGAAACTTTGATATTGCCTACACGTGGCTCTGGTGACCTTCAAGTTTCCTAGACCACTGATGAATTCACATATGCCTGCCTGTCAAAACTAGCTGTTGACCAAGGCTTTCAAGGACCTTCTGGAACTTCCAACAGTGTTATCTTCTGAATTTAGGCACAGACACTGGTCTCAGGTCTCAAGCTCGCTCCTGAAGCACCCTCAACTAGAGTGGGTTCCCCAGTGGAAGCCTGCAGCATTTCCTGTTCATCCCATTCCCCTTAGAAAAATGTCTGTTTACATGAGACTACCTTAATCTGTATAATATCAAGAAACTGAAAGGAACATTTCTGTGAATGAACAGAACATATTCAAAAGGCAAATCTCATGTGGATATTCTAGCTGCCAAATGCCTTACAGGCCACCAGATCTGTTCTGCACGAATGTGCTCAGCACATGACAGGAGTAGTAGAGAGTACAAAAGGTAAGGTACTTCAATATAAGTGAAGCACATTTTGCAATAAAAATTTGGATTAACATTTTGCTTAGGGGAAATACAGTCACTTGCTTGTTCTTACTGCAGCATCTATAAAATAGAGGATAGCTTTATCTAGTTCATCTAACCACATGATATGTTAATGAAAACATATAGGATGAAACAAGAAGACATACTTTAAAATAACTGAAAAAACTGAAGGCAATATTGACAATCTAGAAGACAATTTAAAATGTGTTGAAACATCAGTTTCAGAAGAGGGAGGGGAAACTACTGAATCAAACAGCTATAAGGCAGACAAAACTTAAATCTAGTATGAAGTATGATGTGGTATTCTCCTTTGTATGCCATGAATATGTTTTATTACCATTGGTTAATAAAGAAGCTGCTTTGGCCTATGGCAGGTCAGAATAAAGGTAGGTAGGAAAACTAAACTGAATGTAGGGAGAAAGAAGGTGGAGCCAGGCAGATGTCACTTAACTGCCAAAAGAGAAAGACACCAGAACCTTACCAGTAGGCCACAGTCTTGTGGTGATGCATAGATTAATAATGGGCTATTTTAAGATGTAAGAGCTCGCTAGAAATATGCCTGAGCCATCGGCCAAAAAAATATTGTAATTAACATAGTTTCTGTGTGATTATTTGGGTCTAGGCAGCAGGAAAACCAATGCACAGTCTCCTGTTACTGAAGTGTAACCAAAACCAGACCAAAGCATAGTTGGGCTGCATAGGACAGCCAAATCAAAATAGGCCAGAACTCCATTTAGTGAAAATAGAGGACTAAAAGACTAAAATTAAATTAAATTGAAGGAGAAAATACTGGTGACACACATCAAGGAAGTATAATTTTCCCATTAACTCATAAGTTCTTCTGTAGGAATGTTTGTGCTGGTTTCAGGCACTCCACTGCTTTGTGTTGATTTGAATTTATAAATCTTTCTTATATTTATCTGTCTAAGATGGGTTGCTGCTACTCTATGATTTAAAATAAGACATAATCCCATTGTTTTTATATTAAATACAAAACGATTGAATGTTACAACTAGGAAAACAAACCCATGATGAGTAGATGAAAGATGAGAAAGAATTTTATGCTATATAAGTTCTATAGAAACACAGCGCCTTAATCAGCAACAACACAACAGAGTCATTCATGGCCTCAGGGATTTTTTTTTTTAACTTTCTTTAAGAAAAGATGAGCAGGTGATGGTGGCATTGGTGATGCATGCACACCTTTAATCTCAGCACTCAGGAAGCAGATGGAGGCAGATCTCTGTGAGTTCGAGGCCAGCCTGGTCTACAATGGATGGCTCCAGGACAGCTAGGGCTGTCACACAGAGAAACCCTGTCTGGAAAAAGCAGAACAAAACAAACAAACAAAAAAGGCTAGAGCAGTAAGATGGCTCCATGAGTAACAGTACTTGCTGTCAAGATGGAAGACCAGAATTCGGTGCCTGGGATCCATGTGGTAGAAGGAGAGAAACGGCTCTGAAAAGTTGTCTTCTGTCCTACACATGCCATGCCATTTTGACACCACACCACACACACACACACAACCCACTACAAACACAGGCACACACACACACAACCCACTACAAACACAAGCACACACACACACACACAAAATGCAGTTTTTTACAATTTAAGTCCTTTTGTGTACTCTAGGTGGTAACTACCCATTTAAAAACAAACAAACAAAAATCCAGAAAGTCTGGCTCAACATTGTATCTGTTTTGGCTTTCAAAAATGTGACTGCTGACAAAGAGTCTATTTGTTACCCAAACACATACAAAGCCGGCCTCGCTTTTCCTGGGCACTAGTCTGGGCATATGTATCTGCAGGCTGCCCAGTGCTGTCCTCCTAAATCATCTTCACCAGACATTTCTTTCTTACACTTTTGAAAACATTCTGCTTTCTTGAGTTAAAAGAAGTTCTTAATAGAAAAAAATAAATAAATAAAGTCTTAAAGTCTTTGAAGAAAGCCTGGATAAGACCAAAATAAAACTACATGCCTTTTTTCCACATGCATAACAGAACAAAAAATAAAACCAGTTAATCAACTTTTCTCCTCTTCTACTGTGGGACAACGGTTTGTACCCTGTCAATTGTATTTTAACAAAATGCTGATTGGCCAGTAGCCAGACAGGAAGTATAGGTGGAACAACGAGAATTCTGGGAAGAAGGAAACAGATTCTTCAGTTGTGACCCAGCCTCAGAGGAAGCAGGATGTGACTGCCTCACCAGAAAAGGTACTGAGCCACGTGGCTAACATATACAAGAATAATGGGCTAATATAAGTTATAAGAGTTAATAAGAAGCCTGAGCTAATGGGTCAATCAGATTATAGTTAATGTAGACCCCTGTGTAATTTCGTTGGGACTTAACAACTGTGGGACTAGGGCAGGACAGAAACCTCAGACAACACTCTTCCCTGTTTTTTATAGTCCCTAAATAATTCTGTTAGAATTCTCACTATTCTGCTTCCTTTTTCTATGAGATCAACTTTGTTAGTGTCCATGTATGAGAACATATGAACTTTATCTTTCTGTACTTTACTAAATATAAAGTCCTGTGTTTGCATCCACTCTGTTCTCCTTGATGCGAAGCAGTGTTCCTTACACAGTTGTACCATAGCTGTCTATATGTCTGTTGGAAAGATGATTGAGGTGTTTCTATTTGGGGAGTATTACAAATAGAGATACTATGGACTTCTACCTGTAAGTTATTTGTATATCTATGTTTTCATCTCTTTAATAAATACCTAGGAATAGAACTATTTGGTCATACAGCAAGAACATGTTTTAAGTTATAAGATTACCAAATTACTTGAGAAGTGTTTGGTCATTTTGCATTCTTGTCAGCAATGTATAAGTCTTCCATTCTGTGCATTCTCTGCAGTTGTTGGTATTCAGTTTATATTTTACCCATCCTGATTTGTACATAAATATCTCATTGTGCTTTATATTTCCCCCAATGGCTAATGGCTTTGAACATATTGCCACATTATTATACCCTCTTTAACAAAAGATTTCCTTGATTCCTTGCCTATGCAATTACATATGCTTACTTGTTTAAAGGGGAAAAATCTGTCATGGAAGAAAATAAGCAAATATTAACAAAAGAAAAGGCGTTGAAAAATAGAAGAAAATAAAGATATTAGGGAAAAATGTCTACTCTTCTGCTTGTTGTCTTACTTGAAAGATAAACTAATGTTAAAATGAAAGGTAAAATTCTTGAAAGAATGTTAAATAAAGTAAAATTTAAAGACTTCTAACTAAACATCAAACTGTTAACAGTGGGGAGTTAAGAATGAGGAAAGAGGAAGACACATTTCTTCACATATTTCCCTATTTAAAATAAACAAAGTATTTTAAAATGTGAATCTAAATAGAAAAAATATTATATCTGAGCAAAAACCCAAAAAAGTTGAAAGCATTACACTGAAAGATGTATATACATACTGCTCGCTCTCATCTCTCACGGTAGCAAATGAATGAAAGTAACCTAAGTGCCAATCAGGAGATGAATGGGTATCATTAATGTGATATATGTATGTAACAGAACACTACTCATCCTTAAGAACTAAATCCTGTCATTTGCAACTAAAAAATGAATATAGAAGATATATAGATGCTAAATATAAAGTAAGCAAGTCACAAAATGACAATTATGCATAATCTTGCTTTGTGTAAAATCTAAGAATGAAAACACAAAGAAATAGACAGCGGAATGGTCTATAGTACTACTATAGAAGAAAATTAAGGTTGAGCAGAGAGTCAGAATAAGGACAGGGGAACTGACAGTCCAAGGAGCAAAGGTTCAATCAAGTGAGAATAATAGTTCCAAATAATCTATTGCATATTAAGGTGAATATAGTTAATAATGTATTTCACATTTCAAAATTGTTTTTAAAAGTGAATTAAATTTTCCTAGCACAAATTGATGATAGGTACATGAGGTTGATGCTAATTAACCTGATCTGCTCATTCTACAATGTATATATGAAAAGAAATATCCCATTATACCTCACACAGATATAAAATGTCAGTCCAGAGCATGAAGCTAGGTTAAAGATATATTTCAATTATATAAATAAACACTATGCATACTAAGAATACAGTTCAATTTATATTCAGTGTGCTGCTAACTTAGGTTCCAAAATGACTCTGTGCGTTGGTAGTACACAACAGCTGACAGAGTTCACAACTTGAGTATAGACCAAGATACAAAACTCACTGCCTATACTCCTCAAAAGTAAAATCTGTAACTGTATGCTCTATACACTCTACAGCCATATAACCCTCCCTCACAATATCTCTGCAAGGCAAATAAGACAACCATGCTTCCCTTTCGTGATTACCAGTAACAACAATGTCCTTTTCCTCCCAAAACCCCACTTGGAGCTTACTGTTCACAAAACATGTCTGCAGCTCTGGAGTGGTGAAGGCATTTGCCAAAGGTTGCCTCACTAATCTAACTCAGGGGTCAAGATAAAAAGTGAAGTTCACAGATTAAACAAAAATAAATAATTTACTTTAAAAGTATTTATTATTAAAAGTGGGTGGACAGGAGAGACAAATGACTCAAATGATAATAGATCTATTATTTTCCAGTACATTCCAGAAATATAACTAAGGCCATGTTGAATGGAACAAGTTTGTTCACAGCACTGACAGAATAAACTTTATTAAACAAATAACTGGCATAAAATCCTTTGCTATATCCTGGAAACACAATAATACATTAAAACACCTGTCCTCAAGATGATCACATTATTTTATGCAAGAAGTTCTTTATAAAGGATGGGTCCTTTAACATAACTTTAAATTACTCAAGATTAGAAAAGAAAACCAGAAGTTTTAGGTATGAAACTGAAGAAATAACAGGACAGGAAAACCATTAAACAGCCAATGAAGCTACCACTAGGTGTCACTCTGGTATAACTTTCTTAACAGGCTCAGCCTTACTTTTATATCTTGGTCTATTTATCTGGTAATAACGCCAAAAAATAAAATAAATAAACATAAAAAAATTAAAAAGCATTATCTTACTGAGCATCTCTTTCCTATAGAAAATTAACATTTATTCAATTCCTGAAAACAGTAAGATAGTCTATAACAATTATATTGCAGGTCACAAAAATTAGTGTTTCTTTTCCAATGCCCTATTATGGGTAAGCTAATCTATATAAACACACACCCCTACACTCTTTTTAAGCAGCCAATCATTTCCTCAATAGGTATGACTGTGCCATGCTCTGAATAGAGAAAGAAATTTTAAAATAAGACCTTGTCTTCTAAAATTAAGAAGTTAACATTTAGTAGGGAATCTTAAACACAAAGAATTGCTCTTTAAGATCCATTTTTTACAGCATTCAGATTACCATATCCATGGAAGCTAGAGTTGCATCACAGAAGGAAATTTCACACGAGATCCTGAAGCCTACGTAGGAAGTTTCCAGAAAAGCGAAACAAATACAATGTGAGGAACAGGAAGTAACTTGAATACACACCAAGAGACTATGATTTGGAAAATGCATACCAGTCTGAATATGGAAAATATAAGAGAGGAAAGAATAACATGTGTAAATAACATTAAGAAATTATTTTAGTTACACATGAAAAAAAACAATTCCTGAACTGTACAAAGGAGATGAAAATAGAGAATCAAACACTGAGTGACAGAATTTGTAGAATTTAACAAATCAAATGCAGTGAAAGAAAAAACAAGTCCCATTTACTAGTACGCCCTGCATATTTGTGCCCACGTAGACAAAAAGAAGGCTCACACATGATTCCCGACTGGCATCTATTTCAGTGAGAGGAGAACTGCGACACAGCACAAATATAAGCAGGCTGTGAAGAGACGCGTGAGAAACACATGTCACGGAGGAACAATATTTGGCTTACAATGCAGTTCGAATGAGTTGTAGTAGGTGAATGTACAATAATAATTAATAAATAAGATCAAGAACTAAAAGAGAAAGCAGAGGGAACATAGGAAGAGCTGGAGAAAAGGTTTCAATAATGCCATAGGCAAAGTACTCATGTATGAAATTCTCTACAATATAACTTTCTTAATTAAGAAAATATTACCAGGGGCTGGAGAGATGGCTCAGCGGTTAAGAGCGTTGCCTGCTCTTCCAAAGGTCCTGAGTTCAATTCCCAGCAACCACATGGTGGCTCACAACCATCTGTAATGAGGTCTGGTGCCCTCTTCTGGCCTTCAGGCATACACGCAGAAAGAATATTGTATACATAATAAATAAATAAATAAATAAGTTTTAAAAGAAAAAAAAAGAAAATATTACCAAGAAGCAGAAGTTCTAAGGGATAATTTAGTTAACAAGGGCCCCACTTCTGTGAAAGAGATAATTATTAAAGTGCTTAACAAAGAAAATCCATTCCTTTTACTTTTTCTGCCTTCTGTCATGTAAGGTCATGGTACTCATCACCTCCAAGGAATACATCAAGTTCCATCCTAAAAGCAGACAGAGGCATCACTAAACTATGACCCACTAGTACCTTAATCACAAAACTTCTTAGCAGAAATAAGAAAATTAATTTTAATTCCTCCATAAAAATTGTAGCAGCACAAACAAACACTACATTATAAAAATGAGTATGCTTTAGTTGCAGGGTTGGTATATAACATACTCAATAATTACAGTATTTTTTTAAGCTCCTAGGTGTTTAGTTTACAACACTCCTAAAAGAGTATATTTATAGAACTATGAATGTAGCTTGGCAGTCAAGTCCTTGTCAAGTATGTACAGTGCCTTAGAGTGATGCTTTGTATTGACAAAAGCACACAACAACAACAGTGGATAAAAACTGTATATCAAAAATTATTCTTCAACTTACCTTAAACTCACCACAATATATATTCAAAATAGAGGACAATAACCTGTATGAGAAAGCATCCAATACAATGTGCTTTGTTCCCTTCTTGTTGATAGTCAACTCAAAGGAAAAGAACAATGTATGCCTAGCAAACCATTCACTTATGAAGGCTTTATGGAGGTAATTCTTACCAACAGTACAGCTGTCTTCAAGTACCACATCAACATTTCTGTCTCTGTACTCAACTCTGAAGTCCAGCATTCGAGGCTGCCTTTCTACAATCTGCCTGGATGGCATTACAGGGCGGAACGCTGAAGAGGAGGGGGTTGGAGCTGGAGCAGGGTGACTTGCTGGATCAAATGTGGGTCCTGGCATGGTTTCACCTCCAAAGTCACTAAAATGTTGATAGAAAAGAAAAAGCATAACTACTTCATTACACAATATCATCAAGGTTCTTCTCTACTGGCTTGCAGGCCTTCCTATCAATTTGCCTGCCACTTGTGGTAAGACCAAGTTCTCTTTCTTCTACTAAATCTATAACAATGGCCATGGGTCACATGATTTTCTCTCCCATCTTACCTGTCTATTCTAACTACTACTATGATATTATTTACACTTGGTTGTATGTGGCCACGTGAGCAAAACATCATTTTTAAATGAGAATTAAAAAGGTTCTTAGGATGGTGAGATGGCTCAGTTGGTAGAAGCTCTTGATATTAAACCTGATGAACTGCTTCATCCCAAGAACATATGGTGGAAGGAGAGAACTAACTCTTCCAAGTTGTCCATTGGCCTACACACACAGACACACAAGCACGCATGCATGCACACACACACAATTTTCAAAACTTTAGGTATATTTTCCAGTCATGCTCAGTAAATCATTATCTGACCTGCTACTTCTATTTTCAAAAAAAAAAAAAAACTGCTTTAAAACTTCTTTAAATTTTAATTCTCTTTCGTCTAACTCTTGGTTTATAAAGATGGATTCTGTTAAGAAAATAGAAGCCAAAGAAACTTTTCTTAACACTAAATCCCCAATCTAACCCACGTGTGTGCTTGCTCTCATTCCCTTATAAAACAGAGGGGACATCTCTCTCCCTGGGTGTAAAATCTACTCAGTTTTACCCTAAAGATTACCACCCCCATTTCCTTTATAATATCTTTGTCACTCAGTATACAATTTTAATTTGTTCAAACTTTGTTTTCTTAATAAAAGCTGACTAGAGTGCTGAATCCGATGACTAGCTCTGGAAGAGCTAATGAAATGGCTGTAAGACGGCTCCTTCTGACTCTGATGGAGTATACAGAGGAAAACAGCAGCCCCAGTTTTTAGTGTCCAGCTGAAGGCACGAAAGTACAAAGTTCTGAATATGGCCTTTATAACGAGTTTGTTATTTCTTCTAATAACAGGTAAGACCTTGCTGAGAATGAGTTCAATTAATGTTGGAACCTACAGAATTACCGTGGAAGCTGAACATGCATACTTCCAAAGTCTCTTGTGAAAATTAAGGTGCTATTTTAGAAGGATTGAGAACCCAAAAAGTAAAATAAAGATACCTGAGATTCATATAAAAGAATCTTAAACCCTGAAATCTCTGAGTCTCTTTTATGCTCGTACTCATGACTAAGAAAGTTAAATAACTTTTTTTATTAATTTATTTATTCTATTCTATTTGTGTATCTTGATCCCATTTATTTCCCACCCCTTCACATCTGCCCTCTGCCACTGCCGCCCCTCCCAAATAAATAAAATTCAAGAGAAAAAAATGAAAATAAAATGAGAAAAAATTTTAAAGGAAATACATTAAACATCTCATCATGGAAGCTGCAGTGCAGTCGGAAAAGTCAAATCATATGCTCCTTGTCCCGTGCGTCTCTACTTGCAAGTGTTCACTGCAGACTCATTAGTCTGGTTTGAGGCTTCAGGTTTCCACTACACATTCGATGCTGGGCCCCAACTAGGATTCTTCCTGGACACCCCACCACAACACAGGGCACCAAATAACTACTAACTGCTTGGAACTTCTTATAAGTCTCTTCTTTGGGGTAGTTATCTTGAAAAGGAAGTCCTATTTTCAACAAAAGCTTTAGTGTCCCTTGAGGCCTCTAAAGTCAGGTCTATACTAACTGTAAGGAAAAAGTAAAGGGTTTTAACTGAGACATTCTTTATATCAAAGCAACTATAACTATGAAAATTATATCAGCTATATTCTATGGACAGAAATAATATTAAGTATGTTTAACCCAAATAATTTGCATAAGGAAAACTACAATTTAGTTTGAGCAGCTATAAGTTCTTCTAATTGTCTGCTCACAGACTGGAAAAAAATACCATCTCAAAATAGTGTGCACATAGTAAGGGTGTGATGTCCAAATCTGCCTCGCATACTACAGAAGATGCTCAAATAATGAAAGAAATAAAAAGGCTATAATGGACATAACTGGGTAGAGATAACTCTGGTTTTCTTACTTTTTCTCTAAAGACCCCCTCCACTTCCACCAAGTAAAAAGGGTAGATGAACCACCTGATAATCTCCATTACAAAACTCACAGCTTTATCTCTTCTTCTTCTTCTTCTTACCCTCCTCTGGTCAGCTTGCTAACCTATACTGTTGTTTTGCTCTTAAAAGTCTAATAAGTTCGAGAGAGAGAGAGAGAGAGAAAGAGAGAGAGAGAGAGAGAGAGAGAGAATATGAAGTACACAGGTTACAGAGTGTGTGTAACTTGTAGACACCCTAGAACTACTAAATAATTATGCACATATATTTATTCTCTATGATTAGTTTGCAAAGCACAGAGTATAGAGTACACAGTACCTGTACTTTGTTTTCTTAAAATTTAGGTCAATTATCCCACTCACTGTCATAACAGTGTTGTCTGAAGAGATCCTAGTAACCTAAACATTATATAGAACAGCACTGCATTAGTAGTAGTGATGAATGACCAAAACTGCAGTTAACTCACAAGTTTGATTTGACAGGCAGGTGCGGGGGACCAACAAACACATGCATTCCAAAACTGAAGGAGGAGGCAAGAACCCGTACAGACAGCTCAGTGATGGAGCACATGTCTCATGCAAGATGTCCGGGGTTCAAGGCCCAGTATTTGAGGAAAGGGAAAAAAAAATCACAGTCCTTCCACCTTGGTGATGCTTCTAGAGTACAATAGAAAAAAGAAAGCCAACGGCTTTCCTGTCGATAATTAATTAACTGGGAAAGAAATCACTTAGATTGGAAGGAAAAAAGCTAAATACATAAAATACACTGGAACAAAACAAAACCAGATTGCTCTAACACTACACTCTCAATAAAAGATACATGTGAGAAACAGCAGTGACAGAAGGCATCCCTTTGTGGAAAAGTTGAGGCTGCTCACTGGCTAGCCACTCAGAGATAGCCTAACATACAAATCTTCAATGAATTAGGAGCAATATGAGGTCGGCATTTTGTTAATAACATGAAAATATTTGATGCTGGGGTGAATTTCTCCACATCCTACACATTGAAGAAAAGGTTTTTAACTGCAGTGACAAGACACAGGCTAGTAAGTTCTTTTTCACATTCTGTCAGGGGCTACTTATACAATGAGGACATACCAAGGGTGAAGTGAGATTCTCCTCCGTATGCTATGAATATGTTTTATTATCCTTGGGTATTAAAGAAGTTCTTTTGGCCAATGGCTTAGTAGAGTAAAGGCAGAAAATCCAAAAAGAGAGATAGAAAGAAAGTAGACAGAATCAGAGACATGCCTGCAGAAAGAAAAAGATGCCAGCCGCCAGCCAGAACCTTACCAGTAGGCCACAGTCTCACGGTGATTCATAGATTATTAGAAATGGGTTAATTTTAGATATAAGAGTTAACTAGAAATATGTATAAACTATTAACCAAATAATGTTGTAATTAACATAGTTTCTGTGTGATTATTCATGCTGGTTGACAGGGAAACGAAGGAGCAGCCTCCACCTACAAAATGGTGCACCAATGTGGGATGGCCATATCCACATAAAAACTGAGACAAGCCGGGAGGTGGTAGAGCACCCTCTTATCCCAGCATTCAGGAGGCTAGGCAGATCTCTCTAAGTTCAAGGCTAGCCTGGTCTACAAGAGCTAGTTCCAGGATAAGCTTCAAAGCTACAGAGAAACACTGTCTCAAAAAACCAAAAACACAAAAACAAACAAGCAAAAAATTCAAAACAAACAAACAAAAACCAGAGAGCTTGGGAAGAAATTCTAGACACACACACCAAAGAGAGAGAGGGAGAGAGACAGAGAGAGAGACAGAGACAGAGAGAGAGAGAGAGAGAGACAGAGAGAGACAGAGAGAGACAGAGAGAGAGAGAGAGACAGAGAGAGAGAGACAGAGAGAGAGACAGAAAGAGAAAGAGAGAGGGAGGGAGGGAGGGAGGGAGGGTGTGTTAAGGGTGACAATGGTAGCCACATTTTCTCAAGTGGGCTCTGTTTGCTAGAAGCAAGCAGAAGGCTTCCTGACTCAGTGGTAGCAGCAAAAACTGCACAGCTGCAGAGCTCCTTTAAGGCTTCCTGGTTCGTGATAGTTCCATGAACAGTTCTGGCTCTTTCGGGAAGCTAATACTTGAATGGGGTTTGTGAGCAGTGTGCTGCAAGTACTTGGTGGCAGCATGGGCCAAATCCTTCCCAGAGCTGAGGTGTAAGCATAGCTACCACCCAGCAGTAGCAGAGCTGGCAGTAAATGTACCTCCATCATATTGAAAGGCGGAGAGAGGTGGACCCAGCATCCAGGGCCACTATGACCAAGTGGCTTACCATTTTAAAAGTGTTCCTGGTCAGAAAATGATTACAGCTACGCAATAAAGACAGAGTCAGACAGAAATAAACCTCTAAATGGGTCACAGTGTGTTTTTAAAATGTGCATGGGCTTAAGAAAGAGAGAAGAAAAATAGTACAGACATTTATAAAAAGAATAGTTTTAAAGAATAAAACAAAGACTTTAAAGAAACAGAATATATTAAAAGAGGTAAGAGAAATAAGGCATGTAAAAATGGAAAATACACACAGAGTCTGAATTATATATATTATTGTGTTTTCTTTGAATTTTTTTGACTGTGAATGAGCTACTTACAGAGAGATATTTCATTGTACGGGCTGCTAAGCTAAACCAACATATATTTTAAAGGTATCCTGACTTCAAAATTTGAGTCTAAGGCTCTGTTGCTTTGGAAAAGGAGTTCTGCTTTTGTTTCCACTGAGAACAGAAAGCTGTGGATTCCTAACCAGCTAATATTGTCTGATCAAACAAGACTCCCTGAAGCAATGGCCTAGGTGGTCCAAAATCCATGACAGCTTCAGAACTGCTGGCTGAGATGAACCTACCACACAAAATACCCCATGAAAGACCTGATTAACAGCACCCTCA